CATTTCATTAGTCTCTATTAATCTTTACTGAATGGGATATTTTGATGGTTTATATCTATTTATTTTGTTTTGTTTTGTATATTTAATCTTGTACCAAGTTTATGATATTTGCGTGTACCAATGTATTTGTTGTGCCTCTTTCCTGACTCTCACATTTTTAATTATTATAATTACGGTCACCCAACTAGTTTAGCTTTTCAGTTATTTTGGGTGTCGCACTACTGTATGTACTGTTCTGTTTATTTATTTATTTATTTATAATTATAATCTTGTAAATTCTTTTAGTTGTTTACAGTAGTAGAAATAAAATGTTCTTGTTCAGAGAGGTAACAGACAAAAACATGTATACAGCTGCAGTTATTCCAAGTACATGACTACCATTAAGCGACAAAAGTGTGAGACACTTCACTGTAAAATTCTACATAATGTACATTTGAGTGTCTGGAAACATCTCCTCCCTACACCCTGACAATGTTGATTTTTTATACTTCTAAGACCATGCAGACCACAGAACCTACATGTACACAACATTGGATTGGAGGACAGGAGAGATCAGAGAATTATTGCTAGATAAATATGAAATAAAATAGGGGGTTAAATAAAGTGCCATTTTCTGAAATGGTGTAGACTATTTTTGTTGCCCATGTGAGTGAGTGAGTGAGAACTTTATTAAAGTGTCTAAAACCTTATAGCCTGGAAATAATACGCCATACTAATTAGGGGACACTGCTAAATAACTATACTAATACTAATATTAATACAATAAAAAATACATGACTTGAAGGGCATTATGTGCTGCATAGGATGCAGCCCTTACAGCCGGTGTCTATTAAGCGAGTTATATCCCTTTTGTGAATATAGTTTGTAAAAGCCTGCAGTGTCTTAGCTGATCTGTCAGCCATAGACAGTTTGCCCCATAATTTGGGACCTACATAATGCAGAGAGTGCTTCCCATAAGTAACAGTGTTGTATCTAGGAGTGGAAAAATCTGTACCATTGTACCATACCTAGCTTTCCATACTGCTCGACCAGATCAATCTTGGATAACACATTGACGTGAGGCAGCTCAACATGAATCATAGTAGACAAAGACGTGAGAAGAACCGAGATGAACTTCGTAGGGTCGCTACAGTGATGTGAGTCAACAAGATGAACTGCAGCAAGCTGTTGGAAGAAAAAGTATTACCTTCATTTCATGACAAAGAAGGTCTTCACTGATTACATAATTCTCATTTACTGTGTACCTTACAGTGTCATTAAAGAGAATATTGTAGAGGATGGTCGCATACTGATTGTATTGACACCACATAAATCGTATCTATAACAAAATTCTTGATCATGATTGGTTCTCTGCATGCCTGTTTGTCATGTAATTGGCGTGCAATCATGTGGGTGACCAATTACAGGTATTCAATTACAACTTTTTGTAATTGAATACCTATGTGATTTGCAGGTCAATTACACACGCTTTAATGGCTTCCTTCTTAATGTTTCCCACAGTTTTTAAAACTCATGGAGAGCGCTACTGACATTTTCGTTCAAACGAAGTTCTCCAAAGAATCTTTTAATTTCGAAATTTGTTATAGATACGATTTATTAGTAATTGGACCTCATGCAATACAATTCAGAGAGTAATCATGCTCATGATTTCAAATGGGCCTCATGCTTCTTGCTCGTATGACTTTGAACTTACTTGCCTGATTACTCCCTGAAGTGCACTCCACTTGGTCCGATTACTATTACTAAGCCTGATGGGTGCTGAGATTGGGGGATTTCAATCCTTATTATTTCAGGTAGGAGAGGCTGCTCTCTCATAGGTCTGCTGACATGTAGGTACTGTACACAAGTAGGGTCAAAGTGGTTATTCACAATAACATCCGTCAAAAGCAATATTTGGGTGTGTAGATACCCATGGTCAAGACACACAGCAAGCGGCAGGCATATTTTGCAGGTTGCAGGTTGCAGGTTGAAATTTAATTATAACTGGAAAACCACTGGCACTTAAAAGAAACGTACAGGTGGTAGACTTACCGTGACTGTTACATGACACTGTTTACAATCACTCCGTAAGGTGGCTTCTACCTAAGTGCCAAACTGGCCGAAGCGATGGGAGGAGGGTATATTCCTATTATTTTAAGCCTGCAATGAATTATCGTTTTTGAAGAAACATCTGAAATATCATCTGAAATATCTGCTGAATTTGGTTTCTTCCCTGTGAGTACCAAAATGAAAGTACACTGAGCTTGTGCTAGTATATTCCGTCGGTTAAAATCTTAAGACTTATATTATTTCATTTCTTTATTTATTTGCTTCATTTGTGGTAGCAATCTTCTGTTGTTGATGGAAGACCCGAGCCAAATCTGGAATCGTTGGAAACATCTGTGGAGCAGCCATCCAGATGGCTTTGAAGAGATTTCACTGGTCTCATGCAATCAGCGTGTCGATTGATAAGTACTTACAATGGATAGATCGTGTTTTCACTATGTGAAAGACGCCAACTACTTTATGTAAGAACCTCTGACGAGTATAGGTTATTAATTATTTTTAGTGTCAGCGGTTTTCCAGTTATGATTAAATTTCAACCTGCAACCTGTAACCTGCAAAATATACCTGCTTCACAGCAACAGAGGAGCAGCATGGTTGCAGAACCTATCTAAAACAGCTTCCTTCCCCAGAATAATGTTTTAAAACCACAAATGACAACCAAATGTCTTAACAGTTGACGTCATTTATCACTCATCCAAAAGCAGTCAAAATGACATGATAAATATCTCAAGTGTCCAAAACGTCAGACCTGATCAAGAACTTATAGAAAAAGGTACAAGTCATGTTGTTGACAGCTTGTCTCTTTTATATCAGAAAATCCGAAATGGCAAATGTCTTGTCAGCAGCAGCTACACTGTACAATATGTTTAAGTTGAAAACAAGGTTCATCTAAACTACATATCAAGTACATCTAGTTTGCTTTTTGATCTGTGGTGAACTCAGCTGCATTTGGTCTCTGACTGCAATCAAACCCACAGGACCTGCACCCTATAGCGGACTGTACAGGGAGGTCCTGTCCCAATTTTTCAGGCTGGAGGGTAAGGGTTTGGACCTGAGTCCCCCCGGGTTTCACTTACTCTAAAGTCCCACTTTTCCAGCTGCCTGACGACATTTCTGACGGACGTATGATGAGTATAAAGTTCCACCTGACCGGGACAATCAAACAAGAAGTAATGGCCCTTCAATTCTTTGAGCTTTTTCTCCAGCCAGTCAATATTTTTCTCCAGATATTCAATACAGTATATCAGCCCACCGTTCGGACCTAGCTTGAGGTTCTCCATCACATCGTTTAGCGTGACAAGTGTCGAGATGTCCAATGCACAGTTGTAGCTCAATGAATCGTTAGCAGGATCGAGGTTTACAACTGCAGCTTTTCGTCCCAAGCTCGTTAAAAATTCGCACATCCCGGCACAAAAGGTGCTTTTACCAGAGCCAGGTGGGCCAATGACAATCTGTCCAAATGAAGGCATTCTAAAGAAAGTCGGTAAAAACTCTCTATGATGAATCCTTCTGGCGAGAAAACTCCGCTCCCACCGCCATTTTGTTATTTTTTTGGTATCCAGACCACTAACGGTAAATAAAGTACCCAGTCTTCTCACGACTTGTGACAGTTCCGCCCGCAGGCCAAAGGCTCGAAAACTTTTCGGGCCTGCAAGGCCATTTTTAGTTCACCAGTATCTAAAAACAGAAAGGTGTATGCGTCTGAAAGTTCTTGTATGAAAGTAACTTCTGTTCATATTAAGAGTATGTGAATAAAACAGCTCTGCTGTGATAAGGTTTGAGATTTTGCTACGGCTTTTCCAGTTTCCTCCTTTACAGCCGTTATTAGGGTCGTCACGCAACGGGGCAGAAGCGTTGCGTGACGACCCTAATAACGGCTGCGGAGGAGACTACGGCTTTTCGGGTGAGAAAACTTTTCGGAACCTTCGAGAAACGGGCCCCAGGAGAGAGGTGGCAATAGGCCATTTCCGAATTACCTTGTGCCTCTGTTTCAAAACGCGAGTCCTAGTGCAAAACCATTCATTTGAAAATGAGTTTGATTTCCATTAAAATAAACCTGTTGGTGGAACGCATTTTCATATGAAAACTTATGAATGGTTTCGCACAGAGCCTCGTTTTGATACAGAGGCAAAAGGTAACTCGGAAATGGCTTTTTGTCTTGAGTTCGTGAAAATCGCAAGCAAAAGTTTTAACCGCAGGGCATTTGAAAAACCTCAAACACAAAGGGTTGGCTCTGTGGAAGGTGCATGAAGCCGAATGCGTAGAAACGTACAGACACAGAATGACGCTGGGATATTTCATCTGGGACTGTAGCAAATCATGGTACGTATTTTTCTACTGACTGACGGCAACGTGTGCATTCCAAGCACAAAGCTGGACGCTCCACTAAGTGTAAATATAGTAAATATGCTTTCGTTTTTCTAGTTTATATTCAGTTTATAGCCGAATGCGTGCTACTGAGAAACATAACTGGAAGCAAAAAGAAAATAAACGTCTGAACAGACTAGAAAGTCACCCTTGCTCACCATAGAGTCTCAAGTAGCTCAGTGGTTAGAGTATCTGGTTAGATCACCGAGGGTCGTGGGTTCAAATCCCATCTCAGTGGAACTTGGAGTTTTTTTCAGAGTTAATGCTATTTCTACATTCAATATCCCCGTATCTTACTCAAATCATTTTCAAGGTCATTATTCTTCGAATACATTATATGATGTACATTCGAACCTCTATTAAGCGGCCATCCTCTTTAGGCGGCCAGTAATCAAAGTCCCGATGAGGGCTTTTCTATTGCTTTTACCTCTAATGGTAAAAGTTTATTGAGGATGCGTCAGTCAGTCATCTGATACCAACGTATCATACCATAATGTTTACCTCACAAATTAACTATCGGTTCAAAGAATTAGGAGCTGTACCACGCAAGATACGAAAAACCACCAGGAAACCGCCTTTTATAGCTGGTTTTCACGTGACGTCACTAAAATTCGAGCTACAAAACTATTGATCTTCCTAGATTTTACTTAAATGATGTATAAGAGCAGCTAAAAACTAATATTCATACAAATTTTCGCTCCGAATGGGTTCTTGGTTTTGTGATACACTA